ACTTGTTTCTGGTTTTACTCTTCGATTTTTCGAATTTAGTATCGCGGTCGCGAGTAGGTCCCGAAACGAACGTTTATATAGGTATTGCTCGAGCACGTACATGCGAACGGACAACGGTCACTATGATCGATGATCGTCCATGTGTATTGATATCAGCTTCCGCGGTTTATCCTTTCATTTCACCTTCATAAGTTATTTTTTGGTTTGCGATTAGAAAGACTCGAGCTAGTTGTAAGTTTCAGCGGGCATTGCGCTCGAAGGAAAAAGAGGCTGAAAGCCGAAGAGGCCCGGCAAACTGCCACGAAGAGGGTCACAACAAATGACTTCTCATCCTCTAGATCATTTAAATGATTCCAGAGCATGGGAAGTCATTCTCGTTACTACTTTGTCACTATGCTCTTTTAGTGTTTGTAGTTGTATCTTTTTTTCTTCTTCATCGTCGTTCATCACTGTTTTGGGCAAATCGCGGTTTTTCTTGTTAGTGTTGCGAATAAATGATAATCGTGTTTGCTCTAGAGTTGCGAATTATGATACCACGATTGTTTTTTGCAATTCAGATTGTCAATTTCCATAGTTGCCTTAGTATCGTGTAAATTTATCTTCCTTTCCGTTGTTTTAAATTATATTAAAGAATCATTGCTTTTAATTAATTTTAGAATGTTAGAATATTCAAAATAATTTTTCCTTCGTACAGTAGCTTTTGTATTGTTGATAATAATTTTCATTGAATTTGGCTTTAGAGTTAATGTTGCAATATTATTTCATCGTGATTTTTAATTACTTTTACTCTTAGTGTTGCGATATTGTTCCTTCGCGATTTCCAATTAGTTTTTCTCTAATTATTAGTGTTGCGATAAAGAATGATCGCGTTGCTTTTCTGAAGTAGCGTTGCGTTTACGAAATGCCCAAATTCTTCCACTGGATTCGTGGAAGCCTGTTCCTCACCTGATGCAGCTACAAGAGTTGTACAAAGGTAGTCATTCACTTCCAGTTGCACTGGACTGCGTATTTCTAAATATGAGTGCATAGATTAATAGCGTTGCGTATTTATTTAAAGGAGTTTTAGCTATAATCTTTGGGTTTGATTTTGAAAATTTCCTATTTCATAATTAGTAGTACTAGAGAGTTAGTATCGCGAAACGAGTTACGGTTTGTTGCTCGGGATGCAGTGATCGACAATTTTATGTATTCGATAATGCGCAACTGCTACGCGAGACACGTGCGACATTAACGACGGTCGACGCGATCGATCATTTCCTGGGAAATTCATAGACAACCCTTTGTCACGCGGCCCAATTGTCCGACGTTCGATCGCGAATAATTATTTTGGTCAACATTCGCCTGTTAATAAATGTCATGATTATCAGTTTCACTCTGTCGGATCAACTTGTCAATCAACGAGAATATTATTCCGTGGATCCTGAAGCCGTGCAATTCTGTTTCCGCATCGACACCTGTTTCCCTGGGAAAGTTTGCCACGGTCTGGCGTCGAAGTTTGATTAAAAACGTTCTTCATCGAGCAAACAGAAACAGGAATGGAAAACAAAAAAATAATCAGACAAACGAATATAAACTGAGCAAACTGAGAATATAAATAAATAAACATCGTTCGTGAAAAACCAAGTGTATTTGTTTATAATAAACAAGAGAGGGAGCAAACAAATTGGAAATGTATGTAGTGCAGATAAATTTCGAAAGTTTGAACAGAGGTATGAGAAAGGGATTTATCGCGCAATATTTTACAAATGCTTGTTTGTCCTATGACGCTTGGCATTTCTTTTTATTTGTCGTGAAGTTTTTATTTAGGCTGTGTGTCTATTTATTGAGTGTATTTTGGATTTTCTTGCTTTTTATTATTAGTTGACCAAACTTACCCTAAACAATTAGTGTTAATAAAATTTTGAATGTAATATCATATAATAAAATAGAATAAAACAGCATGTAAACTTGAAATGAAAAATTGTTTCAGATGGAAAAAAATTATCCCCTTTTCTCGCTGAAACTTATTCCAGAATACTACGTTCGAAATTCAACTCAAAGTTGGTAAAAGGTCAAAAGAAAAATCTTTAAGAAAGTGAAATTTATTGACATTTTATTTTCAATATTAACCAAGTATCACAAGTGCTGTATATAATTACAAATTAATTAATGTTCATTGGTACTTTTATTTCCTTGTTTAAACTAGATTTCTTTTCTCATACTTGGTTACATATTATCATGCATTATGCATGACTGTAATAATTTAATATCTCCTGTAAAATGAGAGATAAAGCCAATTAAAACTAAAAAGATGCCTCATTAAAAAAACAGAGTGCATGCAAATAGCAATATATAATTTCTACAGCCACTGTACTAAAAGACAATAATCCACGACATAACAAAGCACAAGGGAATTAAACTTAGGAACGAGCACGCACATTTTTCATTCAATCGTTTTGTGAATGTATGATGTGATCCTTAAAGCGGATTACGTACTGATCCTTTGTGTTTCAGAGGTAAATTCATTTTCGACAACCGTCGATAGATAAACGGTTAATTCACGTGGATTATACGCGATTTGTTAGTCTATCATGTTTCGAATTCGATCATTTCGCTTCAACGATCATTTGAATAAACAGGTGTATCGATATCTGTATAACCGTTTGTAAAAAATGTCTTTTGAAGTCTGTTTCACTTTATAAATTCGACGTCTCTTAATAACAAGTTGTTCTTCGCGACTTTGCTCTTTATCCTGTCTGTTCCCCTATCCGTGGGAAACATCTTTTTTTGCGTATGATTTTGAATATTTGTATCTTTCTTCATTTTTCTCTGGCTTCACGTTGAAAAATGCGGAATATTTCGTTGGGAAACATTTCAAAACCAGATGCCTGGATTGGGCCACTGTCGGAGATCATGTAATTTCATTCTGGATCATTCGTCAAAATGCTCAAAACTAGTATCGCACTGGCGGTTTTTCGAGCGGCGGCAGTCGAACGCAGTCTGTGCTCGAATTCCAAGTGAAACGCGGCTGAGTACATAGAGGAAAACGGGGATATTCTAGTGAAAAAAATAAAAAAAAAAAAAATAAATGAATAAATAAAAAATAAAAAAGAAAGGGAGGGAATCAAACGAGCGAACTGTCGCGTTTTGACACGGAATTGACATTCGATTTTCGAACAGTTGCCTGGTGTTTGTCTTTGTTGAAATTTAAAACCATTCGTATCGATAAACTGTACAACCATACAGTTTTACAACCAAATCGAAGTTGAATCGAAGAGAAATAAATGGGAAGAGTGGAGTTATTTAACGATAAGCCCAATTAATTCAGCGAATTGAAGACCGGTGTATGTCCAAAAGTTTCGAGGCAAAGAGTAGCTTTAGCTCTTGTGTACCGTTAACATCGTTTGTACGTTTTTCACACCGGTGTTGTAATTTGAATGCAGTCGTCTGTTGATTCAGATATTCATGCTGTGGTTGAACTTTATTCATATTTTTTTTTTTTTTATGATTGAAATAAAACCATTAAACTTGCACTATTTTTTCGATTCAAATCACTTTTTAGTTAGAAGATTAAAAAAAATAACACAAAAGGAAAAAAGATTACTTTTATTTAGTAAAAATCAAATGTAGAAGATTTATTGATGTATTTAGGAGATAAAAATTAACCTTATAAAGATTATTCACTATAAGCATTAAAATTAAATATGAAAAAAAGTAACATATCAACGTGCTTAAAATAAAAATGAAAAATTAAGTTTAACTGCACTTTAATTATTTCTCTGAGCAACAGCAGTTCTCGATCGCAAGAAAGATAATTTGCAAGTGGTTAATGAATGAGAAAAGGAAGTAATAGAAATTCAAAGGCATTAGAGATACTGCTTTTGCATTTTTAATTCTTACTTTTATATTCCTTTGTGCCGAACGTGTAGTATTATGCATTTAATATTCCCACATTTTTATTTAAAGATTTAATGCACATAAGTATCATAATGCAACATCTATATTATTCCTAATATCACAATGTAATATACAGTAATTAACATTAATACTATGCAATACTAAGTATACGCTAATTTTGATCTTTTACTGTTCTCCAGTTTACCGATTCAGTTAATCCAATCTGCTCTTCGATAATGTTTGCCAACTTCTCGTTAAAAATTCTATTTTCCGAATATGCGAAGGAACGCGAGTTCGCGCCAAATTTCACTGAAATCGTAATATTCAGACCTCGATGATGAATTTAACGGCGATGGACGTTTCATTAAGAGAAGTCAGATAGCACCAAGAGCAACGAATTTGCATGTACTTTAGGGTGAAACGCGCCAAAGGAGCGAAAGCACCTTCCACGAGTCGGTATTAAACCGAGCTTGCTTAAAAGGGCTTGGTTCGTCTCTCTCTAATTTTCATCGGCGTGTGTGATACACGGGACGGAAAGTCAGTCGAACGATGAATACTTACAAACGTGGTGAACATGTAGTGGTATCTGTAATCGTTCATTTGCAGCTGGAGGATCTGTAACAGGAAAGGGAAAAGCGAAAATTAGACGTGTAATTATCGCGTGGACGCAGACCTTCGCGCTTTTCGAGGATATTCTGTATATTTGCCTCGCCTCACTTCGTCTCATGACGTTTGATTAGTTGCTCCAATATTTGCGAATGTGATGGCTTCAATATTTTTTCTTTTTTTTTTTTTGAAAAATTGCAAGTTTGATGTTTGGTAAAAAAAAAGTGGAGGGCTTCGATAGTTGCAAATATCAGTGGCTGGCTCAATATTTGGGAAGATGTTACGAATTAGATCGCAGGAAATGAAATAATTTCAACATTTGTGGAAATACTTTCGTAGATCGTAATTTTGATATTTGTGTTACTTTCAACAAATGCGAAAATGATATTTTCAATGTTTGCAAAGATAGTTGCGAAAATCTTCAAACTTTATTAAAAACTCACATGATGTTGAAAACCACGTTCCAATTCAATGGCCAAAGATTGTAATATATTTGTAAAAATACACTTAATAATTTGAAATTTCTGAGTGGCGCTAATTCAGTTGCCAAGAACTGTAAAATATTTGTAGAGATATTTTGCACTGATTTTAATCGTAGAGTAAAATGTTGAAAATTATGGTCCCAATTCAATAACCAAGAGGCTGTAAAATATTTGTTGCTGTGTACTTCATAATTTTAATTGTATTCCTCTTTTCTTTTTGTCGACCATTGCAAAAAACCGACGGATAGAAACGATCGCGGGGGATGAATTTCATGCTCGATCCTCGAGTCTCCTTGCCTTCGATCGAGAGGCAATCTTAGTTCAAACGTGGTCGAAGGAAACCGAGTATTTGCATGCCTCGTCCCGTGGGAGATTCCTGCGGATATC